CTAATGCTGATGTTAAATTGTATAACACATCGTAGGATTTTTCTATCGCAACTTATTGTTAAACATTGAATCATATTTAGTTTTTTACGATTGTATCTTCTTTATATGGACTTTCAGTGTTCATCCTAAATGGGGGAATCTTAGGAGTGAAGTGAGCAAATGCGTCCTTATATTTGGTTGTCGTTTTCACTTTTGGCTTGATTTATGCTGACTGAACAAACATATGCTGAATATTATCAGCATCTTAGTGATTTTAATGATATGTCTATACCGTTGTTAGAGATAAAAATAGCTCACACTCTTGCTCCTTGTTCTAGGATAGAAGCCTGACAGTGACACACAATTTAGGAGTGTTTGGTGGTGGGGGTCTTGTTCTCTCCATCATAACTGGCCTGTTTGGTATAAATGTAGACGGAATACCTGGAGCTGCCGATGCTCCCTATGCATTTGCTTTATTCTCTGGCCTCCTCGTTTTGTTAGGAGCTCTACTCATTGGAATTGGATTGCTTTATCTTGGACTGAAGAAACCCATTGTGGAAGAAAATGTTGCGGTCAGAAAATTGGAACTTCAAGAGCTGGTCAAGATGTTTCAACATGAAGCAGAATCTCATGCACAAGTGCGAAAAACTGTACCCCATAAAGATTTTCCTCAAACTGCAGCACGTAAGAAGCCACCAAATTCTGCGCCCCATCATTTCCTTGTCTAGAAGGTATGCTTTTTTTGGGGGGGAAAAAAAATTATATCAGTTGGGTTTAAATCCTAACCACTACGTTTAATTGTTTAGTTAACCCTAGGGGCTATAAAGCTATACTCCTGTGTACACTCAACATATATATGGTTGTTTTGTATGGTACTTGGTGTTTAATTTGTGTATTATTTGGGTTAGATCTATTTGTAATCATACCTCATTACCTCCGCGCTGGAAACCATTCGACCTCTTTCTAATTTTTTTTTCTTCCCCAAATGATCACTCAACCTTCTTCGCAATCTCCTACATTATGTATCTTGTTTTATACAATGGAAAAGATCTCCTCGATCAAATTTAATTTCATTTAAGTAAATAAACTCTTAAACACGATCCAAGTCCATCAAATTGTATTGGGTTATATTTTTTTTTTTGTTGCCCACCTAGTTCACTAGAATTTTGCTCCGACTATATCTGGATCCGACTCGTGTCACGTACCTGGCTGTGGTGGGTGGGTCTCCTAATGAGAATTTCTGCATACGCAGAGGCTCGAACTCGAGACCTCGCTTAAGCAGTACCAAACTGCTTATCACTTGGACCAACTCTTATTGGTTATTGGGTTATATTTTTGCTGTAGGTTAAATTATCAATTACGCCACAGAAGAGATACTCTAGTGTAAGTAACGAGAAACATGGAAATAAAATTATACAATAATATTAAATACTCTTTTAGTCCTATTTATATGGCAGAAAGAGAAGACATTTTTTGTCCCTATTTATAAGACACTGAGAGAAATTTTTTGTATAAATATATAATTTTATTTTTTATTTATTATTGTGTTGATTTTGTTTATATGAGATATAATGTCTATTGAATAGGAATAAAGTTGAAAAGTTGTTAAATTTGAAATGTGAGTAAATAAAGTTTAAGATTTTTCTTAGCCTGTGTGAAACATATTGAAAGTGACTTATAAATAAGATCCGAAAAATACTTGAAAGAAATGTTGCTTTGCATGCATAATTATAATTGGATATAGCATGCTGGGACAAAGACAACACACCGCGTTTTTATCTTTTTATTTATAACTTAATTCCGCGACAGCAAGAATATAATAACTCGAGAATCCTAGAGCAGTTTGTAATATATATAGAGACAAATGAATTATTAACATGCATTAAGTTTTCCTTATTATGTAAATCAATATTTAAGGAAATATTTAATTTAATGCCTAAGTCGGTAATTAAAAGTATCCGGTCTAACAGATAGTATTAAAATTATTTTTTCATCCCCAGACCCAGATAATTGGCATGATGATTTAAGACCAGGGGGTTAAGTTTAACCCTTTCATGGGGCTGAAAACGCTGCCACATAAAGCCCAGTAAAGCCACGAAGGGTAAGTTTCCACTTTCAAACGGTTATGTGTAGCTCTCTCCCACCACGTGAAACTCCACAACGCCATAACTCTTGACTCTCAGCTCAAAAAATCAAAACCCTCAACCCACCATTCTTCTCTTTTCTCTGGATTGACTTTTAGTTGTCAACGTCATATCAACACTTAATGATTCAACCCAAAAAAAAAATTTGAAACTTTCAGATACATACCCAGCTTCTGAACCGAAAATGCAGATATACCATGGATGAACCCCTTCTCCCCAAAATACGAGGAGCGCTCGCAGAATCCTCAAGCAGGCCATCATCATCCCTAAGAGAACGCAACTCATCTTATATTGATCTTATCACTAATGAAGAAGTCATTCAGATCATTACCACACCAAAGACTAGCCCTTCTTATTTGAACTTCTTAGCCAACTTGAACAGAAGAAAGAAGATCGTCCATCGCTCACACTCTGCTCCCTCGGTTTTCACTTATGCCAGAGGAGACGGTCACGATCCCTTTGACCTCGGAATTTCACAAAAGACATCATCGACAATAGTAAGTCTGTCCTTTGTTGGCGTCATCTTGTATGTGGCAACTGGGGTTTTAGTTTACTTGATAAGTGGGAGTTTCAAGGGCAAATCCACGTACAAGCCTGTGGATGCTGTGTACTTCACAGTGGTGACTCTCTGCACAATAGGATATGGTGATATTGTCCCAGATACAGCATTCACCAAAATCTTTACCTGTGGGTTCATTCTGGTGGGTTTTGGATTCATCGGCATTCTGCTAAATGGCTTAGTCACCTACATTTGTGATAGACAAGAGGAAATGTTACTGAGTGCCATGGATGAGAATCGATTCAATACACTAGTTAGATCATATATGATAGATAAAGAAAAAGGAAGAATGAGGATAAGAACCAAAGTGGGTCTAGCTTTGGCTGTGGTTGTTTGTTGCATTGCTGTAGGGACAATTAGTGCTCGCTACCTTGAGAAGTTGGATTGGCTGGACAGTTTTTATCTGTGTGTTACTTCTGTTACAACAGTAGGTTATGGGGATTTTGCTTTTAGTACTGAGGGTGGAAGGTGTTTTGCATCATTATGGCTCTTGGTGAGCACATTGGCAGTCGGCAGGGCCTTTCTGTACCTAACTGAATACAGTATTGACAAGAGAAATCGGACTATTGCAAAATGGATTCTTCACAAGAAGATTACCTTGTCGGATTTAGTGGCCGCTGACCTTGACAATGATGGATCAATCAGGTATGCTAAATATTTTCTTACATAGAGTCTATGAAGAAGTATCTAAGCATATGAGCTTACAGTCGAATTTTGCATTGTTGTTGACTTGTTGGTCACCTAAAATGTCAATCAATAATAAGCATATAAGCTTGATCAAAAGAAATCTTCACTAAAAAAGTGTAACTATGTTTGAATGGGGGAAAATGTACCTAAGCTATTTGCGTGTGGATTCATATTTAACTTAAGTTATCTGCATTCGCAAGCTGCTCCTCTTTTTTCGGTCAAATTAGATTTACTCTTATTTTCCATTGGAATGTTGTTATTAGGAGCCAAGGATGGATTATAAGCAAGGATTGGACAAATTATTGACTGATTTAGTCACTTCAAAAATACATTTTAAGAATAAGTTGGTCTGGTGAAGTATCAGACAGGGGAACCTCAGAGTTATTATGTTTACAGAGCAAAAAGAAAACACCAACATGCAAAAACTGATGAACAGAGGTAGAGGGTCTACCCGATTTAACACTTAACAGTCTTCAGCCACCAAACCATTGTCCACAACTTTGACCCAAAAAAAAAAAAACCATTGTCCACAACTAAAGGACAGAATTGCAATAAGATGGAGATTCTGAGCTGCATGCCTCATTCCCGCTGTAGCTTATAGGCCCTCGTATAGGAGACCCAAACGCAATTTAGCACATATCCTTAGGTCATTAGCATGCTTTCAAAAATTCTTGAGGTATAGCATGCAAGACTTCACAGAGATTGCCATAATATACCAAGTGCAGCTGATATAGTAGCATTTGCTAGGTGTTCATTTTGTAGCACATACATGCTTTATGTTTCTGTGTAATCTTTTCCTTTTATGCTTGCAGCAAGTCTGAGTTTGTCATATACAAGCTTAAGGAGATGGGGAAGATAGCTGAGAATGACATTCTACAAATAACCAAACAATTTGACACATTGGACAGTAGCCAATGTGGCAAGATTACTCTTGCTGACCTAATGGAAACTGCCTAATACAGAAGTCAATTCTATAAGAGAGATGTTTTCCCAGTCTTACTTGCCTGGGCAACGGCTGCTTGCTTTGGTCTTTATCTTTTCAGATAAGATGGTCCAGCACAGCCAACAATTTATTGCCCAAAACTTGATCAACCAAAGGACTTGCAGCGGTCGAAACTAACTACCATGAAAAAGATGCATAGTCCATCCCGGTTGCAGGTTCCATCGGACATTTCAGATAGTAAGGTGTAAAGGAAATACGGGACGTGATTGATTCTATCACATTTAGGAACAAGCCTAGAACAGTTAGTTTGGAAAAATTTTAGTGGAAAATCCACTTTTAGTAATAATTTGAGCGTTTTATTCATAAGTCTAGGTGTTCAGCACACATTACCACTACAGTGGAATTAGATATTCAGCCAGGGAATTACAATACCACCCGAAGTGGCACATTATTGTTTTACCACAGGATGGTTAAGAAACATGGTATTTGTTATCTGTACTCGTGAACATGTACCGCTAGAATCAATACCGTTTACAAGAAATGGTACATTTTTTGTGCACCAAAAATAAAAAAGAAATGATACATTTCTAAATATATTTACAGAATCTCCCATGATAATAAGTATAAAGAACCTCATCCGCAAATGAAATGAACATATGTCACCGAAAAAAAAAAAAATGAAATGAACATATGCATATTGTGTCTCTCAAAAGTTAGCCAGGACAAGATACATTGCGGCTTACGAGTAGGTAAAATTTGATGATCTCAGAAGCCAAGGTTATGAACTCCAAGAGCCAGAACATTTAGCCTGCAAGAATAAAAGTAGACATATAATTGAGTATAAAATTGTAAAATATGACCCAAATACAGTTGAGATTCACTAATTGGACTTACATTTTCAAACAATCCTCTTTCTTTCTTATGCTGAAAGTCACTCTTGAATAGTATTTCACAAGAACCTTCATGAAAGGGATAATAATGTGAAAATTTTGCAGCGTAAGTCACAGGCATGGGCCTTGCAACTTCACTTAACTCTCCTTCAGTACAGCAGGAAATTTGTCAAAGGTAAATGCTCCAGTAATTGATTAAGCAGATGATGATGGCTGGAATGACCAATAATAAATCAATACATTATCATCTCTTTACACATAGATAGTAAGCATCGTAAATGTTTTTTATCCATTTCCAACATGAAGTAATTTAGTGCTACAAGCAAAAATGCACAAGAGTTTCCTCAAAGAATAAAGTTAGCCCTCACCTGGAAGCAGAAGATGAATTGAACAAAACAGAAAATGTGATCAGATCCTTAACTTTGACTCCCAATGCTTCTGATTCTGAGGGTTAAAAAATATGAGAAAAGCATTACGTTACTAATTTTTTTTCACTATATTACAGAACATGCTAAAAAAATAATAATACAACCAAAAGCTCCCCAAGCAACAGTGGTAGCAGTATCCAATTCTTCAACAGAGCAATGAGTTTGATGCTTTGGCAGATAAAGATGTGTACCTCTGTCTGATCCCATGGATGCTCTCAAGAAGTTCCACCATTTGTTGCCACCTTGAATTCTTTGGCTTCTCATCACCATCCAACAGCAAGTTTGAGGCTTTCAGAGTGGTGATAAGTTCGACTTCAATTTCACTGAGCTTTTGATCTATGTGCCCCATTAATGCCTCATAAGAAGCAATTTCTGTCAAGACGCTAGCTTTTTTATCCTCGTCTAAACAAGCACTGTTTATGGATTGTTGAAGATCCCCAGTCTCCTTGTCACTCAATGAATCCCCTTGACTTTCCGCAGAAATCTGCACGTCTTGAATATCAACAGATTTCATCACATTAAAATCCAAGTCATTGTCAGTAATATCCTTGCCACATTCTTCCTTTGGACTAATGATTCGAACTGGACTTGAAGAGTCTTCTGTTTTGCCTTCAATATTCAATGAAACATGCCCAATTAGTTGACTTTCTTTCAAAGATATTGCCTGAAACAACATACGCATCTTTTGATTTCAATAATGTGAAATTCCAAAACAGAGGGGATTCTTTGACCTCAAATGGAAATATATTTACTCAATAAATTTTAGAGATGATAAATGTTTCATAGGATTTGCAATCATAAAATACAACCACCCCCAAAAAAAATGGAAAAGAAAAGCTGTCAGTTCTTTACTCTTCCATAATTTTATATCAGCCAACATATGCCAGGTCGATAAAAACTCCAAAGGTCAAGATTTTTTTCCTTTGACCACTTACAAATAACGGTATGTATGGGTTTGCTGAGAGAGTGATTTAAGAGTTAATTAAGTTATTTTCTTGTCTACAACTTTAAAATTTGCCCAACGATATTTTCATTTGCTATTTAGATTCTCCCAATCAATGTATTCCAGATATGAACTTGTCATCTACATTTATAATTTTATCTGACAACCTTAGCCTTGAAACTTCTAGCTATATATTTATGCATCTGTAGGTGTTATTACCTTGAAAACAAGTCAAAACAGTATACATGTAGATGATATTAGTCTCTCCCTCAAGAATTTTTTCATGGGTCAACCATTGTATGTGTATGACATTAGTAATCAATTCATATTACCTCACAAAGCTTTGTAAAAAGTTCATCAAGCAATTCAATGCGGGTTTTAGACTTCTCCAAAGCTTGCAAGACCTTCTTCCTTTGAAAAAGTATTTCTCTCGCATCATTTTCCTTCCCCTTTTGAACACTTACAGCTGCCTGCTTTTGAAGCTTCTCTGCTGCCTCTGACAATCGCAAAAGCCTCAGTCTAGCATTATTTGCTGCTCCAACCACCAATGTCCATAGGTAAGTTCAAGTATTAAGTCAATGATTACAACTAGATCTTTCTACTAGCGATTAAAAGCAAATCTACAAGCACTATTTTAGACAAAAGTTCAGTTTTTTGGCAACAAAAGTACCGAAAAGAGTACAGAATCCAATTCTTCGCATTCTGCGTCATACGATTCATTGGATTAACCAATATATCAGACTGGTCATCCACTTCCAGCAAGAAAAAGATTTTATTGGGACCATTTCTGAATTGAAACGATTCCGACAACAAAGCAACCAAATGGGAAAAGAAAGAGGAGAAAGAAGTGAGAGCGAAAGATTCGTGCCCTTGGCTCTGGTGGTTTCGGCCTCTGCGTGAAGCTGATCGAGCTGAGAACGAAGGTGTTCCGTGTTGATGATGCTTGAAGCGCAGCAAATAGGCCTGCACAGAGGCCTACGGGGAATCGCCATTGCAATGGCTCCACCAGAATTCGTTATCATCTCTTTCTCTCAAACACGCAACGATGAATGAAAGAGAGTACCTACAGCTGCTAATGCGAAATCCTCCTCCTTCCCGTCTTCTTCCACCATTGACAGCATTCCACTAGGATTTTTTTTTTTTTTTACCCCGAGAAAGGTTTCCAAATACAAGGACCGATGTGGCCCAACTTACTTCAAAATTAAGCCCAGACTTCTGTTTTGGGCCTGAGGCCAATATTCTTATTTTGGATTAATACTATTTTCAGTTCTGTATTTGAAAACCATTATTTTGGTTTCAGGAACCAAGAGGAAGTCAAATTTTATAGACCAAACACTACTCCCTAATTTCGGATATCAAAATTAAAATGGAGATAGCTCTCTCTTGTACCAAAAACAAAATAAATAAAATGAAGTAAGACTTCGGAGACTAAAGAAAATACTTCTCTGATCCTTAATATAGAATCTAATTATTAAGTTGATTTTAGTCTTAAATATAAGACTTATTTCTTGTATTTATCATTTTTTCCTAAATTAACCCTATGGATACTCCCTCAACCATAATCAAGTTAAAAAAAAAAAAAGAGGAAGGATATTAAGAAAGATGATTATGGTGTTTAAAAAAAAACATATCATATTTCTTATAATTAACTAACTTACATAACTTTCTTAATCTAATCAAATTAGTTAAATAAGTCTTATATTAAAGACCAAAGGAGTATTAACTATTCTATTTTCAATTAAGACTATATAGCTAGTTAAAGAGTTTTAGTCTTAAATATATGATCATAATTTATTTTGTCTCTTACATTTACCATTACAAAATTACATCACCAAATACTTTAAGATATTAAATATATATAAATAATAATAATTCTACTTCGAAGTGTTTAACCAACCTTATCGGGTTGTCACTATATCATTTATGCATTTATTTTGAAAAATGTAAAAACGCTTTCATTAACAATAGTGATGCCACATTGTCACAATTCATTTTTTATTTTATTTTGCTTATGTATAAAAATTAATATTATGAACCTACCCAAGAAAAATAAAATATTACGAAACCAAAAACAATTGTGCTCAGTGATCCTACACACTGGATCCAATTATAGCATCTTCAGAACCCCTTTCTAAATCAATCTTCTATGTTATATCATTTTTTCATTATCTACCACCTCCGATCGTAGATATAAAAACTAATTAACTAATTTGAATAAATTAAAAAAAATAAATTAAATTAGTTAGTTGTAATAAACAGATATTATCTTTCCTAAAATATCCCTACTAATCAAATATATTAACTATAATTACTATTACTATAAGGATTACTTTAAAAACATACATATAAAAGATAAATAAATTAAAATCTTACATTTAGAACCAAAATAAAAAATTAAACGAGATCTTATATTAAGGACCAGAAACAAAAAACTGAAAATGCAGCACCTATAAGGAACACAGCATCATCCTACCTGATCTTACCTTTCACATTATCTCCTTGAAGAATAATTGTTAAAATGAAATATACAACAAAACTGGATGGCGGCACTTTGCCAGGATACTTAGTCAGCCCCAGCTAATCAATGACAATAACAGTTCCGCAATCTATAAGCAAGCAGAACATCAAAGGACTCATCATTTAACACGTTTTATAGATGTTCCGGCAAGACAAGTCAACCGTGATTTCGTATTAGCCTCGGCCAATGGATTTGGCTTCCCTCTAGTAGCCATGCGATCATCCCAGACTCGTATGACTCCATCGGATGAAGCAGTTGCCACTAGGTGAGGGTCATCGCCTTCGCCTGCACCGCAGTGCTTAGTGAGCACAACAATTCCCTTTACACGAGTTTTATGAGCATCTTCAATACTATATGCAACCTTCCCACTGTTTGTATCCCATGCTGTGATATTGCGGTCTTCACCACCAGTGTATAAAAGACCATTCTGTTAAATATAGAATCACATCTGAACATTAGATGCTCTGAGGAACTGAGCAATGAAATAAAATTCAAGGTTTATAACAAGAATGCTATATTTGGGTTATTCCAGATACAGCATTGCACGTAATGAAGTAAACTTTGCCTCCTATGCTATCAAACAATTAGCTGACTTCAGTTATTGGTGGTTGTATTATTTAGGCAAAACTTGCTCGGTGGGCAGTAGCCTCCCTTCGTTTTTTTTTTTGGGGGGGGGGGGGGGTAGTCGTATGCTGCTTTACAGGATAATTTGCAAGCACCAAGTAGATTTCCATAAACCCCACATAAATCTCAGGAATTTTTTAATGATAAAACGTAAGATAACATAGCAGTTTCTCCTGATAGAAAACACCTCCAAACACATCATAAGCTCATCATCTGTCAATAAGACCCATATCTTGAAGAAAAAGCAACTTTAGTGAAGCTGTTTAAGAAAAAATTACATTTTCATTTTTTATCTAGGGTTCAAATTTTTAACTTCTGTCACAAACATCATATAAGGGGGGGGGGGGAATATTTCTGTCAAGGTCACTTTTGGCATTCAAGTTCAACAAGACATGCCTATTCTAACAAGCAAGTTTTCAAATATACCTCTTTATGCCTTTGCAGTATATTCACACTGATAATTTTGTCATTCTAGGCATGAAACAGGTTTGAAACCTTTTAAATGCCTGATTTCCACTCTACTTCTTACTTACAAGTTATTTAATCCCGTTTTGAAGTGTAGAAAAGAACTTTCTTCCCGTAGGGTCTAGCTTGTACATACTGTCTCAAGCCAAACTACCAATATTTTTCAAAATAACTAAAAAAGTGACAAGACCATATGAGAGTTGGTTCACTCATCCAATGCTGAGACACCATCAAATGGTTTTTGTCCCATGAAAATCAAAAAATTTTGTTGGCGGCCTCTGATACTCTTATTTTCTGAGTTTTCAGCCATTTTCATCAACACCCTCCAACCATAGTTCAACCAGGAGGATCATTGTAGAACACAGCTGTGTGCAAAAGTCTTAGCATATAATAAAAGGCGTCCAACTGTACGCACATCATATAGACAGGACAGAATAGCGTGTCCTAGTTCCAATTTCCATTGCTTAACTTGCAACATAAACGGGATATGCCCTTGTCAAAAAATAATTTGAAAATTAAAACGAGTGCTTCTTCCCATCCTGCAGTCCAACTATGTTAACCACCTCTAATATTCCTCAGAAGTGTATCAAATCCGAAACTTGTGAGATTTTGATACTACGGAGCACGCAGGGCTACCAAAAGCTTAGCAAGTACTAAAAAGAGCCAAAGGTCAGTCCACATCAATTGAATTTAAAATTTCTGCACCAGAAAGCATTTATGCATCCGGTTGACACAATGTTTTGGATCGTTCTCAAACTGAAGGTACGTTTCTTTCCTCATCCTAACAATTAACTCGATCATCCGACTAATACAGCAACACGTATCGAATCAGAAGTACAGGGAAAAGCATTAAAAAAAGAGATGCAAACTATTCCAGTTCACCACCAAAAAGGATGTAACAAGAAGAATGTGGAAACTAACCTCGCCAGGCTCGACAGAGAGAATCCGCTTCTGGTTCTGGAATTCCAACAACAGCCGAGCATCCTCAGCCTCGTGCACCGAAGCCTTCTCTTCCATGGCCATAATGAACTATCGCCAGTCGAATCAAACTTCACCAAGCTGGCTTCTCTTCCCAACCTACAGTAAAAGCTCCTTCTGCCCCTCACCAAATTCAGCATAGCTAAGCACCCATCCCGACCCACAGTCAATGCTAACTTCCCCGAGGGATGCAGGGCGAGATCGTTAACATCTTTCTTGTGAGCAGAGACGGTCTTTAGGTGAACGAAAGAATCAGCATCATAGATGCAAACGGCTCCGTCGGCGGCGGCTGAGATGAGATTGCGAGGGAAGTTGAGGTGGGGAGGAGTATAAAATGAAAGGGAGGTGATGGTGGCAGTGTGGTCATGAAGAGAACCGAGGGAGGAGGAGGCATTGAGATCGTATATATGGATGGTGTCGTCGGTGCCGCCGGAGGCAACAACGGGGCCGGAGATTGCGACGGCTTTGATCTGAGAGAGATGAGAAGGATACGAGAATAGGGGCGACAGTGATAGGGTTTCATCTGAACGATGAACCAAAGGCTTGAGCTTGAAGCCCCATATGAATCTCTCGTATGACCCAGCGACCAGGCTCATCGTGAGTATGATCAAACCCCGCAAAAACCCTAGGAAGTATGCCCGGAGTTGACAGGATGTATAATGACAAAAAGGGGGCTAAAACTTCAAATTGACGAAAATAAGGGGCTAAATTAGTATAAAGTATAAGGAGAATTTTATCTATGGCTCACCAATAGTGCCAATTAGTTACTCATTATTCTATTTTTTATTATAAATTTCAAATAACTAATTTATAGATAATAAATAATTAGTTAAAAATAATAAATAAGTTAAAAATATAGTTTTATTTTTAAATAGGGAAAATCCCTTAAAAAGACAACTAAATAACCTAAATTCTTATTTGGGTCATTAAATTTGTCAAATCTCTAATCGGGTCATATGACCTAGAGAGGGATTTTAAAACTTTATGAAATAACTTTAATGCCCCTTTCATTAGAAACTAAAAAAAATTCTAAATTAACATATTTCATTTTACAATTAACATATTTTAATTCTAAACTAACAACTTTCTATCTTTATAATACATTTACATGAAGTCTTTAATAAAATTTTATTTATTGCAATACAGCTTGAAAAATTAAGAAGTTCAATTATGCAGTTAACAAATTTCAGTTCTAAATAATTAAAAAATTTATATCTTCATAATATACTAACAATAAATATTTGAATAAAACTTGATCACAATATAATCTTCAAAATTAACATGTTATATTTCACTGTTGATACTTTTCGATTCTAAATTAACAACTTTTTATCTGCATAAAACACTTGCAATAAGTTTTTGGAAAAAACTTGATCATAATATAACTTTAAAAGTTAACATGTTATAATTTACAATTAACTTGTTTCGATTCTAAATTAACAACTTTTTATCCCCATAACACACTTGCAGTAAAACTTGATCACTATACAACCTTGAAAATCAACACGTTCAATTACGTAGTTAACAAGTTTTAGTTCTAAATTAACAGCTTTATATCTGTATAACACGCTTGTAATGAGTCTTTGAATAAAACTTGGTTACAATACAACCCTGAAAATTAACACGTTCTATTTCACAGTTAGTACATTTCTATTCTAAATTAACAATATTTTATCTTTATAACACACTTGCAATAAGGGAGGAAAATTTAATATAAAAACTAATTCACCACTACTTACTTGATCAATTTTTCGATTTGCAATGGTATATGCCAAGTTTCTCTCATTTAAAATTCTTAGGCAACACGAGAATGATACAAATTCTCATCTCTCTAGATTTCTAATAAAAGGAGTATTAAAGTCATTTCATAAAATTTTAAAATCCCTTTTAAGGTTATGTGACTGGTTAGGAATTTGAAAAATTTAACGACTCAAATAAGAATTTGAGTTATTAAAGTGTCTTTTTAAGGGATTTTCCCTTTTAAATATGACTTTGTAATAAATTTAAAAAAATGAAAGAGAATATATTAGAAAATGTAATAAGAGAGTATGACAAACAAAAGAGGATAAATAATTAAAGAAAAATGACATAAAAAAGTTGAAAATTACAATATTTCAATTCAGGTACATAAGATATCAAAATCTCAAAAAAGAAAATAGTACCTGATTTGGTATTTTGCAAATATAGTTAAATAACTAAAATGCTGTTGTATCAAATTTTCTATAAAAAAAAAAAAGATATCAAACTTCTCATTGTCAGTATATTTCTTGTCATTACTTGTTTAACACTTATTATTATCAATTCACACTTATTAATAAATAACTTGTCATTACCAATACATTTCTTGTCATTGCTGTTCAATACTAGTAGTCATTGCCAATTTACAACTTGCTAATAAACTTTTTAATAAAAGAGCATTTTTATCATTTAACTATAGCTGCAAAATACCAAATCAGGCATTACTTCCTTTTTTAGGATTTTGACCTCTTAAATGTCTGAATTGGAATATTGCAATTTGCAACTTCTTTTTATATCATTTTCCAATAGTTAAAGACAAAACTAAAAAAATACATTAAATTTTTAAACAAACTCCAAATTCAAGCTTATTAAATGGACCACACTCCCTCCAAAATTGAAAATTATAAATAGGACCGAAGGAATACATTTTAAGATTAGAAGACTTAAAAAACCTTTTGCCATAAGACTTTAAAAATAAACTATATGACTAAAAAAATTAAAATTAAGTTTTATAAATGAATTATTAAAATATCTTTCACTTAAAAAAAAAAAAAGGCGGTTCATCCTTTCGTCATGGTTGTTCGAGTCACCGTTAAGCTCTATTATCTGCTATGGCCAAAAGAAAGCTCAATTGTATAGATTTACCAATGCCAAGTAATGGCCATCGTGAGATGTTCCTAAAACAAGATTTGAATTCATCATCGTATGGTTTACTTAAATATTTTATAATCATTAGGTCGTTGGTACCTTTTAATAACATAATGTATGTTATATACATAATGATAAACTTAATCTACAAACCATCCAAGAAAGTTTAAAACATCATAAGGATATTTGCAAGATTCCTATAATGGAGGTTTCGCTTCAAAAGAATAATTGTGAACAGCATTCTCAATTTATATTGTAGTTGTAAATTTGTGGCAATGAAGTTGTCAAATCTAATGAGATAGTGACGGAATATGAAAAGATATAATTATGATTTAATTATATTTCCAAAATATTTGAATTATTTAGGATATTTAGATTATTTAGATTTTCAGTTTTATTATTATTTTAGTATAAGTAACTTTAAGTTTCTTATTAGACGGCAAACTTGAATCAATAAATTAGATTAACAATTATCGTTCTTTCTCACTTACTCTCCTGACTTTTCCTTTCCTTATTTTATTTTCTTCTTCTGCCTCTTCTTTTCTTCCTAAAATCTCTTCTCTTTCTCATTTTCTCTTCTTATTTTGCATCAATTTTGGCATAGAGCTAGGTTGTAATTTCCTTTCCTGTGCCTAAATTCTTTTCCTAAACCACTAAACACATCCTCCCTTCAAACTCCTCCATATCTGTTGCTGCTTTTCTGTTGTCGTTCACTACCTTCCTGTAATCTAATCATCAACAAACCGCTTCCATTGAAAGTGGCTTGAGAAACTCAACCAGATCAAAAATTTTCATAGTGAAAGAAGCTGTCACGTATTACTCCATTCTTCTGCAAGTGAATTCTGGCATGCCGAAGCTGCAATGTCTAGAATTAGATTTTTGCAACAAGAACACTTTTCAAACTCAAACTTTTGGAAAAAATTACACTTTGGACTCTATCTTTGTTTGAGAAAATTTCACCTTGAACCCATTTTGGCAAAATTTGCACTTATGACCCATTTTTTGGCTGCCTCTCCAATTGTGGACCTTCAGCATGTATATGGAGAGCTGGTATGAGTATGACACTCTATTCCAGCGTCAATAAGATTATGATGAATATCGAGTCATAAAAAATACAAGTATACTAATTATGCTTATGAGAGTTATGAGCATGTCGTGCAATGACAACTTGATTTCAAGGTGCGAATAGAACAATTTAAAGTAAAACTTGATACTGCAAGCAAGCATATGACTATGTATTTGATAAGTTGGAAAAGAGAGTTGATGAGGAAATTGATGGGCTTGTAAACTTCTTCAATAACTCAAAGAATCAAACAGAAGAGGCTCTCCAAACAACCAAGCCAATAAAGGTCAAAGGACCTTCACTAGACACGGAAGAAGATATTGTCAATCTAGTTGAAGTGGCACCTCCAACTCATCTGGAGTCAATTACTCAATATGCACCGTTGGACCTGTTTGTAATTGAAGTAAGTGAGGTCTCTAACCATGTTATTATTAGTGACAATAATTCTGCGAGGGATGATCCAACTGTCCAACTGGCAAATAAAGTAGTTTCTTCTCAGATTGTGGCCAGCAAGAATCAATCTCATCATTCTACAAAGCCACCTTATCTAAAAGTTGCACCTCCCAAGGTTGCCCTATTACACCTACACCTCCCAATAAAGTTCAAAGCTCCTTCACTAGACACGGAAGAAGATATTGTCAATCTAGTTGAAATGGCACCTCCAACTCATATAGAGTCTATTACTCGACTTGCATTATGGGACTTGCTGGTGACTGAAGTAAGTGAGGTCTCTAAACAAATTATTATTAGTGACAATAATTTTGTGAGGGATGATCCAGTTGTCCAACGGGCAAATAAAGTGGTTTCTTCTTAGATTATGGCCAGCAAGAATGAATCTCATCATTCTACAATACCACCTCATCTGAAAGTTGCATATCCCAAGGTTGTCCTGTTGCTGAACGAATTTTTCCAACAATATCTTGTCAATTGGAAAGGTTTCCTAGATAGTTTCCAAGATCTAGCTACTCATTCCTGTCAAGATTTTCTTTTTTGGTACCTCACCTGTTGGAGGGATTTCCATATTAAAGCATCATGTCGAAGTCTTATCCTGCCCTTTCCTCCCTAGCATTGCACATCACTTTTAACTCGTCCAGAGTGGAGTTCTTCAAGAGGGGGAGAAATGATGGGATATGAAAAGATATAATTATGATTTTATTATATTTCTAGAATATTTGAATTATCTAGGATAGTTAGATTTTTATGATTTATTTAGATTTTCTAGAATATTTGAATTATCTAGGATATTTATATTATTTAGATTTTTAAGATTTATTTAGATTTTTAGTTTTATTATTATTTTAGTATAAGTAACTTTAGGTTTTTCATTAGACTACAGACTTGAATCATGGGATTAGATTGACAGTTATCATTCTTTCTCTCTTCCTCTCCTGACTGTCCTTTTCCTTATTCTATTTTCTTCTTCTGTCTCTTCTATTCTTCCTTAGATCTCTTCTCTTCCTCATTCTCTCTTCTTGTTTTAAATCATATAGTTATTGATAGAGTTGAGGTGTAGAAAGAAAGGCAACTGATATTAAGATGGTATTACTTGGAGATGAATATTTGAATTTGCAGCGTGCATTATTGATACACAAGGGCCAAGTCTAAGGTATTTATTATTCAATTTTGTTGCTGTGGTTTTATTTTTAATTAGTAAAATGTAATACATAACTTCTTACTAATTCAAGATTCACCTTTTCAACCCAAATGTTTAGTCATTGTGGGAATAAGGTTGGAAGATTAAGATGCTCATTTCCTTGTCTCTTGAATGACTGGTTATATGTTTAGTTACCTCCAGTTAAATATTCTATTATAGTAATGTAGAATTATTAGGTGTGTGGTTAGAAATTTTGGCCAAAAAGATCAAGTTAGGGGTCACTCAGGTGATTCAAAACTTATAAAGTGTCTAACTAATTCTATTTAGATTTTTGCATTTCAAATTCTCCATTTTTGGCAAGATGATTGCAAATTACGTGTGTGTTTAAAAAATCTCGTTCCAAGTCCCAAGTAAACACTTGAATTACCCAAATCAAAGGTCGGTAGCTTAAGACATGAGCTCTCATGTTATGGTGGGCACTGTTCGTCATGGTGAATGACACAAGAGCGCCCTTCCGCTCTGTGTATTTTGGTATGATGAAATCTTGCACTCGTGAGGGCCCTAAATTATTGTGTTAGGAACTGGTGGTATGATGAAATTGTGAATCAGTGTTTAAATTGCCCGGACATGCGCAATATTTGACTCTTACGAAATTGTTTCTCTTTTCCCCTTTCTGTTTTCTTAGTCCCCCTCCCCTCCTGTTTTTGGGCTTGGGCGGAATATTTTGAGTCCATATATCTCGGGTCCATCTCTCTTAAAATAAAAAACTTATTATTACGATTAATTCTTAATACAACAACTAGTTGGGGATTTAACCTGATCTAAATATAAGATCCTTACTTTACTTTGCCCCGAATATTTGTTCATTTTGTCCCATCTAAACCCTATGATGGTTGCGTATCCCAAGAAACTTTCATCAAGTGATAGTTTTAATGTATACAATTAATAAAAGTGTTTTGAAAGAAACAACATCCATTTGTTATTTATAACTAACTTCCGCTTACTTATCCAACTCTTATATTAATCATAGGAGGAAGTATTAAATTGTCAAAAATTTATTTTGTGAAAGTAATAGAGTCTTGCTCCCTTTTATTAGTTTTTTTTTTCAAATTCAATTCCATATTTATATTTTTAATCCTTTACGTTTTCCCCTTAACTACTTAATCAAAAATTTGTCTTCCATCATTTTTTTAAATTTTTATTGCAAATATTGGACATGCATGGAATTTTAGATTAGCTCAAGCCTATATATAGTTAAAAAGGGTAAAGTCAAATTCTTGTTTTTAATGATCAATAATTAAAAAATATTAGGAGGAAAAAAGAAAAGAAAAGAAGGTGCAAGGGATTGGCCTTGGCCTGGGCCAGCAATCAATTAAAAGTGGTGCTGCCCATCAAAGTTTCAGATATTGGCAGGCATCGGCTTTTTTTGTGAAAGCCATCATGATAATCACAAAAGGCCACCGTTGCTCCCTCCAAAATAATTAATTAAATTGATCTGTAGAGTCTTCTCTTTACAAAGTTCTAGAGATTAGGCTTGGTCAAATTCCATGACAAAAATACCCTTTCCTAGATCCATCGAAATTTTCAATTCTGCTGCTGCAGACCGCACAGTCAAACATTCTGACTTGTCATCCATCATTTACTTAAAAAAAATTGAGGGTAAGCTCTATTTTAATTGCTTTTACACGCAACACTAAATTTTAAAAGCATTTGTATTATTCGAAAATTGCTGAAAATTTTTATTGCAAAATTTATTTATCTAAAATACCTAGTATCATAGATCCTTAACCGGAGCAGCTTTTCCCTTTATATAACTAAAGCATAATTAAAAAAACTTAAACGCGCAAAAAAAAAAAAAGGTTGCACAGGAGTATTTAACGAAATTTTAAATATTTCGCATTTGTGAGATTTTTCAATAATTTTACACATTAGTACATAAGTAGAGACAATTAGGAGTATTTTTCATTTATGATATGGAGAAAGGCCTTTTTTTTTTTACAGAATAAAATTGGATTTGGAGTATCCTTTATATGACAATAAATTTAAGAATAATTGCATATTGATTAATTATAAACACTGCTTTAAATTCTTTTCCCAATATGCAAATGAATTAAAAGTCTGATAATGCAATAATCTTTGACCATTTTGGGCTGACACTGAATTTTCCCACCATTTTTTTGGGCACAGCACTCAATAAATGTGCATGCCAGCTAGAAGAAAAGGAAAATGTCAAATTCTTGTGTAAGTGCAGCCCTTGGTGGTAATGGATGACCACAAACCCAAATTTGGCTGTCAGTTGGAAAAATATGATGCTGTGGCTTGTGGGGGTGACAGAGAATAATGCTATCTTTTCAGATCTTTCATTAGATTTTTCCTTTCAGCAAATTAGCCGCAGTTTTGGTAAGAGAGAATAATACAATATTCACCAAGCCTGGATTTTTAAGCCCTCTTCTCCTTCGTCTTCTTCTCCTTTCTCTCTCTCTGCTTTACTTTTAATCTTTAATTGCTGCTTATTCAATACATTTTTTCCCCTTGCTTTCCCTTTACTGTTTCTTTCTCTCTCTCGGTTTCCTCCATTGCAAACCAAGCTTCCTTTCCAGCTTGCTCTGGTCCCGATCTTTTCTTCCTCAAGCACAGCACCCACCAACCATTTCACCCGTCTTTTTCTCTTTTCTATCCTGTGAAATCTAGCGATTTTTAGTCCCTCTGAAGTTTTCGATGGAAATAAGAGTTTTGTCTGGCTCTCATTACTCTCCGTTATTTTAATATCCCACTTGAGTCCATAGTCCCGCTTGTAGTATCTGAGTTTTATATTGTGCTTACAACGGAATCTATCTATGCTCATTGAGTTTCTATTGGTTGAAAGAGAAGGCCAGCTCTCGCTTCCTCGGTTGCTGGTGGTAGAAGAAGATCAGGGAGGCGAGTTTAGATACTACAGAAGGTAAATGGATTCTCTGTCTTTCTGAATCACTTTTTTTGTGCAACTCTCAGTCTCATTTTGCTTTATCTTTTTCGTTTGCTTGGATGATAAGTGATGCTTTCGCAAGTTTTGGGTTTTTTTTCCCTTCTTTTTTTTGGTTCTTATTGATATCTACTGCTTGTGATTACAATTTACAAACGGTGGGATATTGGATAGGCCTTTACTTTCCCAAGGGATTTCGAGTTTAATTTGTCTTTTTCTGATAAGGGTCACAGACACGCGAATGGATTTCTGATTTGTTCAATGTTTGAGGATGGCGCTGCTTTTTGCCATTTTACCTGAAAACCCATACCTTCAAATTGAATTGATTGAAATTTTCCTATTCCAAATCTTGATAAAGCACAGGGGCCTAAAAAATCATGATAAAGCTGAAACTGGTGATCAGCTAACTTTCTGTTTTTAGTTTTTGCTTATGGCGATTCATAGCAACAACTGAAACGTTGGCTGTAAAATTGGAATGTTTAAATGTGAGTTGCCTAGCTGTGTGAAAGATATACTTAACCTTATTCTTGTCCTCAGGTGGGAATGCATTAATTCTGCCAGTGGAAGTATTTTGTGGGCGAAATTAGTTGACCAGATAGCATTTAATTATGTCGACCAATAGTTCTTTGAATGTGCAGCTGTCTAAGAAGACGACATTTTTGGGTTTGAAACTATGGGTCTTAATTGGGATTGTTGTGTGTGCATTTATAGTCCTGATTCTTTGTATGTTATCTGTATGGGCGATGTTTTGGAGAAAGTCAAAGAGACCGCTGAACAAATACACTGCATCACAAATACCAAATGTGTCGAAAGAGATCAAGGTCGATAAGGTTGGAGTGCAGAGTTCTTATAGCCACCCAGAAAGTGTATATGTTCCCTTTCATGAGAAGGCTAGTGATAAGAATCCAGATAAGGCTTTAGTACGGTCAGGCATGAGCAAATCCAGTGATCCGGACAATGTGAGTCAGTGCAGTTCAATGTATCATCACGAGAGAAGAGGTAGTTCGATGTCAGGTGAGGATGGGAGCTCTGGGACATTCAAGAAGCAATCTGCATTATCATATGGTGGAATGGTGCCTGCCTCTCCTTTAATTGGTTTGCCAGAATTCTCTCATCTTGGGTGGGGCCACTGGTTTACGCTTAGGGATCTTGAACTTGCAACAAATCGATTCTCAGCAGAGAATGTGATTGGTGAGGGTGGATATGGGGTTGTTTACAGGGGAATGTTGATCAATGGAACCGAGGTGGCAGTGAAGAAAATTCTTAATAACTTGTAAGTTGTTTCTTCCTGTTGTGCTCATTGGCGTTGTCTTAAACAATGACGTTATTGATTCTTGCTCTCTGTGATTGTATTGTTTAATAGGGGACAAGCAGAGAAAGAGTTTAGGGTTGAAGTGGAGGCTATAGGCCATGTTCGACATAAGAATCTTGTACGCCTGCTTGGATATTGCATTGAAGGAGTTCACAGGTAAAATTTGTAATCATCCCGTGGCAAGTGCGTATGATCTCTTTCAAAACTCATTAATAGCTGAATGTTTGAGTGTATCAAAGTGTTTTCTTTTTTTGGGGTCCAAACAGAAGAAAGATGAATCTTCTGTTATATGTTTCTTTTTCTCTTATAGACAATTTACTTTCAAATAAATATGCAGGATGCTTGTGTATGAGTATGTGAATAACGGTAACTTAGAGCAATGGTTACATGGGGCCATGCGCCAACATGGGACATTTACCTGGGATGCCCGCATGAAAGTTATAACTGGCACAGCCAAAGCGTAAGTTCAACATTCAACTTTTAGCCAAAGCGTAATTTGTGTTGCTTTTCATTTTCATTATTACTACTACCATTTTATTTGTGTAAAAACCTATCAGATATGTTATAGACAGTTAATTTGTGTATCTGCTTAATTTTTTAGAACCCATTAAGTTTCCAGACAACACAAGACTGGAGCCTTTTCTTTCATTGGAATACGGATTGAATTCTCAAGTCCTAGTAACCATAGGATCTACTCTGCAGATTTGCTGTATAGTTGCTGACATTGTTGCCAAGTGTACTTAGCAGTTTCAGATTTTATCATTATGGAGTTTCATGTTTTTATGAGCTTCTCACAGAATTTAAGTTTGTAATAAACCCCAGTCTTTGACTCTGAAAACACTTCTTATTGTGACTGTTGGCAGGCTTTCATACTTACATGAAGCAATAGAACCGAAAGTTGTTCATCGTGACATAAAGTCTAGCAACATATTAATTGATGATGAGTTCAATGCAAAGGTTTCTGACTTCGGTTTGGCCAAACTTTTGGATTCAGGAGAAAGTCACATCACAACTAGAGTCATGGGAACATTTGGGTACACTGAATATTTCATTTCTTCTTTCCTTACATATAATTAAATGATTCACATACTTTGAAACTTACTCCTGTTCTGAATTCCAGTTATGTGGCACCAGAGTATGCTAATACTGGTTTGTTAAATGAGAAGAGCGATGTTTACAGCTTCGGTGTTTTACTTCTCGAAGCGGTTACTGGAAGGGACCCTGTAGACTATGCCCGTCCTGCTAATGAGGTAACAAACTCTAATGAGCTAGTCTGCTAGGCTGTTAGTTCTTACTGTGTCTTCCATGATATCATCGTTGCTTTGAGTGCTTTATTATTTTTTTTTTTTCTTTTGAGTGAAAATAACATTGAATGCTTTATTCTTTTGGCAGGTTAATCTTGTTGAATGGCTCAAGCTTATGGTCGGTGCCAGGAGAGCCGAGGAAGTCATAGACCCATGCCTCGAAGTCAAACCATCAACACGGGAATTAAAACGTGCCCTTCTGGTTGCACTTAGGTGTCTTGATCCTGCTGCAGAAAAGAGGCCCAAAATGAGTCAGGTTGTGAGGATGCTTGAAGCTGATGAAAATCCATTCCGAGAGGTATACATCTACATAACTTAACCCTCCTTATATATATTCCATTGTCTCCCTGAGTACTCTCTGTTTGTTTTCCACATTTTTGGAACTTTTGGATGCAATGTATATTCTCTTTACTTTCCTGCGAAGTTTTGCTGACTTACCATCAACCAGAATGAATAAAATGTTAGCCACCTGGGCTGACCAAGATGAGGTATGATGAGGATAGTGATCAAAGATTCAAACCCTCCCGATATAATTTTCTTTTTAAAAAAAAAAATTGAGATATTGGGTGTTAACTTGATGAAAAATTTTTTTCTCTTTGATCTTCTTCCAGTATATTCTTACCTAGTCCACTCACACTTGTTAACATTTAGATATGCAGAGGAAGGATAAACTTACGCTTGTGTTATGATTCTGTATCTGCATATTTACAAAGCTTTATGATGCATAATACTGAACTGATTTAGCTAACTAACTGTCTGATATAATCGCTTACAGGATCGAAGGAACCGAAAGGGCCACACTGCCAGCATGGAAATTGAAACCACAAAGGATCTTGCTGGTGGACGCAATGCTGAGAAATCTGGGGATTCTGAAAGCCATAAGCCAGAGGCAACTCAGAGAGTATGATCGACAATGACTTGGCCTAGGCATGCAATTGTCTTTGCATCGATTCCATACACATCCAAGTTTGTCTTTTTTGAGAAGTGAAGTATCTGAATCTGAGAAGAATCAGATCAGAAGCAGCCCCATTTGATTTTTGGGTAATTAAGGATTATTTATTCATCAGGTAATATGAGACACCAAAACCCACAGGGAAGATCAGAGTCAGATTGAGTTTATGTTGTACAGAGATATATTCAGGGCTCATTCATTACATCATTGTTGATATTTTGGCCCTTTGGGCTACGAGTCTGGATCTTTTGGAGTTCTTTTTGTTATAAGGTTCTTGCAAGGTTCTGAAGGAGAAAAGACTAGTGCGAGAAAAAGAAGAGAAAATTTACTCTCTGCGAGAAAATAGAGAACTCGAAGTGATCCTTATACTTGGGCTATTCTTGCTATATTATTTTTAGAGAGTGAACATTGTGAACGACTGTTATATTTGGATTCATTCATTTTCTTGCCGTTTTTACTATTTTGTGTAAGTTTTTTATTCAATCAGGTTATACCATCCTCATCTTTTCTTTGACTTTTGCACTTTTTTTCCTCCCTAAAAGCCGAAGCTCTAGAAGTTGTTGTGGCTTATGCATTATGTAGATTATAACATTATATTCTTAATATAAGAACTTTTATTTTTATTTTGATCTTAAGTATAAAATCTCAATCTATTTTGTATTTTATATTTATTTATTTTTTTAAGATAATCTTTATAATAATGATAGTTTTAATAATATATTTGATTAGCAAAAATATTTGTAGAAAAAAACATCTATTTATTGCGAATAATTAATTTAAATAGTTTCTTTAATCTACTGAAATTAGTCAACTAATTTTTATATTAATTTATATTAAAGAGAAAGTAGTATTTTTTTTTATCTTTTTGGTAATTTGTCGGATTATTATTTCTTGTAGGTTGACCTCTCCATTTGTTATTCCCTATGATCCACGTCTAACTTGTAACAAAAGTGAAAAACCATGTTGGCCAAGTGTATGAGCAATATTTTTTCTGGAGGGGTTTGGAAAATCACCATGAGTTACCCTAAGTTATGAGGCGTGTTTTGACCGGGCGAAAAAAAAAAGGTTATGACGCGTGTGCCTAGGGGTGTTCAATTTGTCCCGTTCCGGTCGTCCCGTCCCGGTTCCGGTGAGTTCGGGACGGGACGGGACAGGACAAAAAAAATTTCGGGACGAGACAAGTACGGGACGGGACAGGGACCGGGACGGGACAGGGACCGGGACGGGACGGGACGCGGGACGGGGTTGTCCCGTCCCGTCCCGTCCCGGGATATTTTTTTTTTTAATTTATTTATTAATAATTATTATTAGATTATTCAATTTACTTATTAATAATAATAATTATTTTTATAGTGATTTTTAACTCTTAAGTTGTAATATTATCTGAACAATATCTCTTTCCTCAATAAAATAATTCATAAAGCCATTATATAGTGTTTCTTTTATCGTATTTTTTTTTTACAGTATTGTTTTTACACCTTTTTTATACTATATAATTGAGTTTTCTACATAATATTTTTTATAATGTTTTTATCTTTAAAAGCCTAACAAAAAATAAGCATTATAACATAAAAAAATTTCATATAAAAAATTATAATATTTTTTTTAAAAAAAAAGGGGAGGGGAACGGGACACGGGACTAAAACCCCGTCCCGTCCCTGTTCACCGGGACGGGACCGGGACGGGCCTGTCCCGGTCCCGTCCCGTCCCGTGAACACCCCTACGTGTGCCTTCAAGCTATGTGGGTCCTAATATCCAATTGAATTAGTATAGTTTATATGACTAAATGAAACACAATACTACCTCAAGTCCTAATCATAAATTTCCATTTGTAATCTACAAATGAAGTCTTATAATTAAAACCGGAGGTAGTATTATTTCTCGTAAGATTGGATTTAGTTCTAAATATCATTTTTAATCTTTTTTTAAAATTATTTAATATTACTTCTGTTCTAATTATAAGAGCTAGTTGACTAATTTGAGAAGATTAAGGAAAGAACTTAAGTTAGTTATTTGTACTAAATAGGTGTTGTCTTTCCTAAAATATCCTTGCTAATTAAGTGTGTTGGCTAGAATTATCATTGTTAGAAGGACTACCTAGGAAAAAGATATATAAATATGAGAGATAAAATAGATTGGGATCTTATATTTAGGATCAAAATAAAAGTCAAACAAGGTCTTATATTAAGGACCGGAGGTAGTAAATTTTTGTTAACATGTGCAATTAATACAAGTAGTTTGGAGAAATGTTATAAAATTAAGAAACAATTTGGATTGATATATATATATATATATATATATATATTTGGACAAGGATTGATATATATTTAGAATCAAAGTAAAATTATAAATTTTTTAACTAATTCATATACTTAGAACAAGAAAGAGTATGAAAAATAATACTACTTCTAATTTTTAATATAAGATTTATTTAATTAATTTGGATAGATTAAAAACATTAGCTAAATTAATTATTTATAAAAAATATATTTCTAAGATACCTTCTTAAATCATTTGTGTTGAAACTATTCATTGATATAAACTTTCTTAACATATATAATTAATAAGAATATTATTTCCTATCCTAATTATAATAACTAGTTGACTAATTTAAGGAGATTAAGAAAAGAAATTAAGTTAGTTATTTGTCATAAATATGTGTTGTATTTCCTAAAATATCCTTACTAATCAAGTGTATTAGTTAAAACTACTATTATTAGAAAGACTATTTAAAAAAAACATAAATATTAGAGACAAAATTAATTGAGATCTTATATTTAGGATCAAAATAAAATTCAAACGAGATCTTATATTAAAGACTGGAGATATAGTTTGAACCAAAAATAAGAGACAAAATGAAGTAAAATATTACATTTAAAATCACACTCAAACTCTAGTTAGCTTACCGAGGTATCAATATCACAGAAACAGATATAGGCACCCAAAGGGCAAGATTTATGGCAAGGTTCATGCTTGCACTATTAATAACTTCCTATTTCGCTTATGGGATTGTACGTTTTATTCCCTCGATTTTAGAAAGTGATGATAAATTCTTTGAAATCTTAATTTTTTGTGCAACATAAGTTATAGCACGACAAGAATCAATGATTCAATATTTGTGGCCAACCCTATTAGTTCAACACTTCAACTATTCATTCGCACGCTTTTCTGATGCTCCTAGGTGTAAATAAATACTCCCACAATACTTAATATAAGATCTATTTAACTAATTTGATTAGATTTAAAAAGTTAAGTGAGTTAATTAATTATAAGAAATATAATATATTTTTTTTAAATATCATAATCATCTTTCTTAATATCTTCTCTTCCTCTTCTACTTGATTATGGCTGAGGAAGATCTATAGAGGTAATTTAGGAAAAAATGATAAATATGAAAAATAGATCTTATATTTAGAATCAAAATTAACTTAACAATTAGGTCATATATTAAGAATCGGAAGAGTATATTCTTGATTTAAAACGTACGCACGCAAGTCTATTTCTTTTATTTTCATTTTTTGATGTGATATCTCTCATTTAATTTATGGTGCCTTAACTTTCACAATCATTTTAATTTGGCAGGCAGTCAAATATATGATTCATTGGTCAAAGCTTCCAATAATTCATTCAATATTCTGAGTTGTTAGTTCCTTTATTCACGGGCTTGCTTTTCGGCTTTCTGCTGTGCTGCCCCATCTCTTACTCTTCAACCTTTTTTTTAAAAACTTTTTTTTTCTTTAATTATAATTCACACCACTCACATTTTTTGGTGAATAATTTATAACTCAGCTCTCGTTACTTGAAACTAAAATTATATAAAAAATAAAAAATATTAATTATACTTTTTGAAGCATGACAAATGGGTAGTGCTTTTTAACTTAAAATATATGTAGAACTGATTATCTAAAAAATCTTATTTTAATTTAAAGTGTATGATATAAAAATATAATAAAATTCATATAAATTATTTATAAGATATTAATATTTTGATATTATCAATAACATCAAATATCTGGTAAAAAAAATCAAGTATGATGTTTAATTATTTAGCGACAAGAGAGGATATGCCTTGATTAATCAAACATGTATTATACATAACTTTTCGTTTTTGTAATGTTGTCGTAATTAATATTAGATAATTTGAAAAATACTTGCATCATTTTATTTACAGTAATTAGGTCAAGTTCTCCAATTATGACCATATTTTTAAAATATTACTCTTCTGATCCTATTTATTTATAAGATACTTTCAATATGTTTCACATAGATAAAAAAAAATCTTAAATTGTATTAACTCTTCATTAAAATATAACAACTTTTCAACTTTACCTTTCTTTAATATATAAAGAAATAACTATCTGCACCATAATAAATGAAAGACAATATGGTACATTCATGATAAAAATTTAACGAAGTGATTTATAAATAGGACAAAAAACTTTTCTTTCTATCTTATAAATAAGACCAGAGGAGTATCATTAAATTAAAAAATAAGATATATAACTATATATGATTAGAGAATTTAACATAATGAATATAAAAACTTAACCTAAATATTATTTTCATTTTTTTTCATATCTGTGTAATGTATTAAAGAATCTGTGTGCCAAAAAATGCCTAAATAATAAAACTAGCCATTCTTGCTTGCTATAGACTTGGTCGGTGAAGAGAAGAGAAGAAAGCTCCATTCTACAAGTAACAGAGACAGGTCACATTAAATTATTGAAATTTTTTAATATGAGACCAGAATGTCATAAATATTTCTAGGTCCTTAACTACCTAAGTTTCACCTAAGCCTTTCCTTCTAGATGACAAGAGGAAAAATCAACTAAGAAATTAAATCATATCAAATATATTATATATAATTTATTAGAAGTCGTATTGTTTACAAGTTATGATGTGATTTTTCGTTTCTTAAATTTCATGGATAATACATGGGGAAAACATATGTGGCTATAAAATTATGACATTCAATATTACTCGCTCTAATTTTTTTATAAGATTCAAATTTTTGAATTGGTTTGATCTCTTTTATAAGATTTAATTTGGGGTTGTTTGAATACTAAATGCATTTTTATCAATTTTGCCCCTAATTAATTGCATTATTATTTTCCCATAAATTTTTCATCTTTTTCTCTTATTATTTCTTTATCTCAATTGCCCTCTTATAAATAAACATATATTTAAGGAAAAAAACTTACATTCCTTGCATGTTCATTACTTTTAACTAATATAAACATATTTTTAAAACACACAATTTCATTAATCAAATCTTATTTTAAAAAAACCACAAGTAGTATTAAATAAGATTCGGGCATTGTTAAACTTAATTAGGAGTAGTGCTTTTAGTGTTTTTTTTTTGTTAAAGTATACTTTTAGTTTTTTAACTTTATACGAGATTTTATTTTGATCTTTTAACTTTAAAAAGTATATTTTTAGTTATTTAACTTCAAAATTGTTAGTCTTAAATAATGATTTTTTGTAACAATCATAGTTGTTTTGAATATT